TGTGTGAGTGTATCTGTATTTGTGTGAGTGTATGTGTGTGAGTGTATCTGTGTGTGTGTCAGTGTATCTGTGTCTGTGTGTGTGTCCATTTATGTGTGTGTATCTGTGTGTGTCTATCTGTGTATCTGTGTGTGTGTTTGTGTGTGTGTATCTGTGTGTGAGTGTATGTATCTGTGTGTGTGTGAGTTTATGTGTGTGTGTATCTGTGTGTGAGTGTATGTATCTGTGTGTGTGTCTCTGTATCTGTGTGTGTCTGTGTTTTTGTGAGTGTATCTGTGTGTGTATCTGTATGTGTTTGTGTCTGTGTGAGTGTATCTGTGTGTGTGTGTAGCTGTGTGTATCTGTGTTTGTGTGAGTGTATCTGTGTCTGTATGTGTGTGTGTGTATATATATATGTGTGTGTGTGTGTGTGTACCGTTCGGTAGTCTGTGGACTCTCCCAGCTGATTCTCACTGAGAACACAAACAGACAGTTAGGGGGGCGGGGCCGGGGGGGTCAGGTGTGTGTGTGTGTGTGTGTGTGGGGGGGGGGGTTACTCACTGGGGGGGTCCGGTGCTGTTGGGCTCTCCGGCCTGAGCCTCGTCCTCCTCGTTCTGAAAAGCACAGGGACGGGGTTGTCACAATACTAAAATGTTCAACTGGTTACCGATACTCAGGAAAATACTCCATACTCGATACCATTTTAGATACCACAAGGATAAAAACAAAGACCCCAAAATTGAACAGTTTTTTGACAGGTTAGTGTCTTTCATTTCAAACTGACCTGTTACTGATGTTATAGTGGCCCACATTAATGACCCTAACCCTAACCCTGACCCTAACCCTGACTCTAACCCTGATCCTAACCCTAACCCTAACCCTAACCTTAACCCTGACCCTAACCCTAACCCTTCATAATTGTGATAAATAAATATTTTTGGGTCAAACTTGTTTGGACTTATTGTACAAACCTATTTAACATCCACTATTTTAACATAATATTATGGATAGAGTTTAATTCAGTGTTTGCAAGACTAATTTCACTATTTTTAAATTAATGTCTATATTGCCATGAAGCAATTAGGATTTTCTTGCCTGGGATCTTCCTTTTGGTGACCTAATCAAAATGGCCGATTGGATGTGGGCGGAGTTGGATATGTACTTGATTAATGTTGGCGTGTTATTATTAGCCATTAGCCGCAGCTAGCAGTTCAAGGCTAACGTCTTGTTAATGATCATAAACAACGTAAAGAAATACATAAATAAATCAGAGATGGTGGTATGGATACTTTAGAAAATGAGAATCGTATCCGGATACAACGTTTTAGTATCCATACTTTTGACATCCCTAGCGTTCAGGGCCTCTCACCTCTGACATCACGATCCCCGTGGAGCGGCGCTCCCGCCGCCCCCGCCGCCGCTCCCGCGCCCCCAGACGCTTTTCCCCGTCCGCCTCCGCCTGCTTACCCGGGTCTGGGTCTGGGTCTGGGGAACAGCAGAACCAGAGGTTACAGACCACCATCAGAACACCAGAGAACACAGATATCATCTCTGATCATCTGTTCTGATGAGTAAAATGACATTTAAAAAAGAGGGCGGAGTCGTTGTGCTTCTTAAGAGGAAAAGACACGATTAAAAGCCACCAAAATAAGACAAAAAGCCACAAAAAACATTTAAAAACAGACAAAAAAGTCTCAGAAAAATATGCAAAAGCCACAAAAAACATAACAAAATAAATAAAAACGACAAATAACATTTTTTAAAAACGGGTGGGGTCATTGTCCTTCTTAAGAAGCAAAGACATGACTAAAAGCCACCAAAATAAGACAAAAAGCCACAAAAAACACTTAAAAACAGACAAAAAAGTCAAAGAAAAATATGCAAAAGCCACAAAAAACATAACAAAATAAATAAAAACGACGAATACAATTTAAAAAAGAGGGTGGGGTCGTTGTGCTTCTTAAGAAGCAAAGACACGACTACAAGCCACCAAAATAAGACAAAAAGCCACAAAAAACATTTAAAAACAGACAAAAAAGTCGCAGAAAAATATGCAAAAGCCACAAAAAACATAACAAAATAAATAAAAACGACGAATAACATTTTTTTTAAAAGGGTGGGGTCATTGTCCTTCTTAAGAAGCAAAGACATGACTAAAAGCCACCAAAATAAGACAAAAAGCCATAAACAAAGGCAGAAAAGCCACAAAAAACATTTACAAATAAAAAATAAGTCACAGAAAAATAAGCAAAAGACACAAAAAACATAAGAACAAAAACAAAAACATTTAAAAATAGCCAAAAAAGTCACAGAAATATAAGCAAAAGACATTTTTTAAAAGACAAAAAGCCACAAAAAACATTTAGAAAAATAAACAAAAGCCACAGAAAACATTTAAAAACAGCCAGATGAAGGGAGATGCTAGTTCTCATCGTTGTCCACGCGGCCAAAGAGCTCAGTTCCCCTCAGAACACCACAAAGGGTGGGGGGCCACAGATGAGTCACGTTCAGAGGCCCTCACACTTCACACGCCCTGACACCCCCCCACCCCCCCGGCCTTCAGTTCCCCTAAAGACGCCACACCCCGGACAGCTTCAGCTGGAGACTCTGCTGTAGGACACAGAGGGGCTCATCCCTTGAGTTAGGGGCCTGTTTATGACTCAACAAAGATTAAAACTGGACTAAAAATGAGTGAAAAAGTAGAAAATGTCAGAACAAAAACTCTGACAGAGCTCAGAAAGCCTGGATCAGTGTCACTAAAAATTTTGCTTTGAGGGAAAATATGAAGAAATTAAGACTTTTTGAACTAATCTTTATCCTTCTGATCCAGTTTAAGATGCTGCTCTGCTGATTGGACACAGCGCTGGCTCATCCCTTGAGTTAGGGGCTTTTTTCCTTTTTCTGCCTGGATGAATCAGAGCTCAGTGGTTCAGTTAAAATGAGAATAAAAACATAAAATCTCCAAAGAAAAGGAGAAAAAAATACCAAGAGAAAGGGTCCTATAAAGAAAACTGTCCTGGATCCTGATATCTTTACAACAATGTTCTTAATTAACTACGTTTCCCCCAAAATGTTTTTATTCCAACACAACAGTTGTAGCTCCCTTTAAACAAGAAGACAGAGACTTTCCTTTTTTCCTTTTCAGAGATTTAAGTGTCCAAACAAATAAAACCCCCATTCCTCTGAAAACGCTCAGATAAGGTCTGAATAAAAAAACAAATAACTGAGAAAAAGAGGAGAAAATGTCCAAAGAAAACCTCATGAGGACATCTGTCCGTTTGGAGGGAAACCAGAGGAATGAGGGCTGTTCAGACCCCCCCCCCCCCCCTTTACTCACCCCTTTCTGCGGGCGTGACGGTGACTATGGGGCTCACAGGCTGGACGTTGCGAGGGGGGGGGTCCACGCTCACCACGCTCTTCTCGGCCTCCTTCAGGTCGGTCAGAGTCACGCCCTGAACAACGGGATGTTCGGTCAGTTTCAGTTTCTCTTAACACAAATATGGTCACATTTTTAACAGGAGTCATACGATATAGGGACATAGAAAAGCTAGTTTTTAAATCGTATCAAGCTATCAAGAGAGGGCTGCTGCTGATTGGCTGCCCGGGATTCAAAATGGCCTCCCCCTTTGGGAGCAGGCCCGGTACGGATGCTCTGCTTCACTGGGTTTAATCTGTCGGCCCCTAAAGTTTATCACTTTTTATTCCTCTTGTAAAGTGTGAAGCAAAACTGTAACTGTGACTTTTGTGTTTTCTTTAAATAGACATAAGCTCCGAACTGATAATGCTAATCACACACACATATTTTGGCAATGCCCCAAATTAAATCAGTTTTGGAGAGACATTTTTGATGCCCTAAAAGTAATATTCAAGCAGGAAATCCCATCCAATACAGACATTGCCTTATTGGGAATAACACCTAAAATTATCACTACATGAGATGGAAAATACATTTTGAATATATTATTAACAGCGGCTCTAAAATGCACAACAATCAGATGGCTCAAACCTGAGCCTCCTTGCTACAATATATGGATTCAGAAGGTCTGGGATATATACCAGATGGAATATATAACATATTCTCTGAGACTACAAACACCCATATTCACTAAACGTTGGAGACCTGTTGTTCCACTAATTATGCAATAAGGTTTTTTTGTTTTGTTTTTCTTACACTCTCGAAATCACCCTGTGTTTCTGTTTTGTTTTTTTATGTTTAAAAATGTAAAAATACACATGTACATTCGTACCACATTGGATTATTTCTGTAAAAAATGATAAAAAATTTGTTAAAAATAAATAAATAGACATAAGCTCCATCTGGCTATCACAGCTATGATTCCATCTACTTGGCTCTGAGGTCAAATAGGAAATACAGGAAGTAGAATGAAATTGTGCAATAAGGCTACAGGGCAGAAGGTTTCTGTCTCATTTTCTGTCTGTACAGTCTGGTCCCATGACAGCAGGTTCCCCTCAGACCTTTGGCTGACTTTCAAAAAACTAACTGGAGCTATTCCTCTGCCCCCAGATTCAAATCTCTGCTCCTGGCTCTGTGGAGCCTCACCTGAGTGGAGCGCCGGGTCTGACGCATCAAACGCGAGCGAGCTTTCCTCTGGGACTCCGACTCCTCGTCCCGAACCGGAGCCTGGAACCTGAGAGGAGAAGCACACAAATCTGACTTTTTTTGTCTTTCTTTTTTGTCTTTTACAGAATGTGCCAGTCAGGTCAGAGGTCACAGAGCGGACAGGCGGAGGGAGGAGGGGGGAGGAGGTGGGGGGGAATAAGGGCTGTACTGTTTGGGCTGCTGGGGCTTCTTGTCAGGGTTGTTGGGGCTGTCGTTGGGGTCCCGGGTCTGGGGGGTCGGCTGGACTCTGGCCGTGCGGCTCGCCTTGTCCTGCTCCTTCTCCTCGTCCTTCTCCTCTGGGGTCTGAGACACACAGACAGAGTTCAGTTAAATTTTATCTATATAGCTCCACATCCCAACAACAGTTATTTATCTCCCAGCTTTCCAAACAGAGCAGCTCAGACTCTGAGTTATTTCCAGAAGAACAACAGTTCCCACCAAGAGCAGCACTAGGAGACACAGGGAGGGAAAA